CTCTCTAAAACCCTAGGATGAATTAAACAAAGGATCATTTTCTCTCTCTCCAAGTGTAACCCATGTCTTCCAAGTGAAGACCAATTAAGCGTCTCATTGGACCTTAATCCAACTTTAAATCAATGGCCAAGATTTCATCTTATACAGTTATACACACTTATACAAGTACACTTACACAAAACTAGCTTAGTTTGCACAAGCATTAAGGTGGTCTTTCTACTTTCATGAGTGTGCAAGTAAAGTACCTAGTTTAAGGAAATGTGCCAAAAGGGGAAAAAGGTGAGCACATGAGAGCTTGCAAGAGATAGGTTCAGCCAAGCCTCGTAGGGGATGCCAAAATGCAAGTAAAATGCACTATTTGGGGTTTTGGACTTTTCTCCAAAACCCTAGCTCAAAACTGTATAGTTTGTATACATAAATTATACGTTTTATGTATTAGGGATGACTAAAATAAATAAAATACACATAAATAACACAAAATTATTAATTATCAGGCCTAGAGAATCCATCTCTCGGATCTCATGTCAATTCGGGCTCGGGTGCATGCAAATTGAGACAATTGTTGCATGAAATTCATAGGGATGACTAAAATAAATAAACTACACAGAATTAATAATTATTAGGCCTAGAGAATCCATCTCGAGAATCTCATGTTAGTTCGAGCCCGGGTGCATGCAAATGGAGACAATTGTTGCACTACCATTCTCAACATGCAGTAAATTCTATTTGAACAGGATTGATCATATGATCATATTAACATCGTACATTGAGCCCGAAGGGTTTGTCCCTCGGGTCTTGGGTTGGCTCAAGAGTCCATGCATGTAAATCGAGACGACTGATCGTGTGGAAAAATTAATTGACGAAGTTCTAAATTGAAGTATCAAGGACTCCGTTGGGGACTTTATTATAATTATTCTAAGTTATTTGGGCCTCTAACACAATAACTAAATGTTCAAATTTGCTCTATCATTACAACCTCCCAACCTTAGGGAATTTCAACACTGAAATTAAACTACGGCCAAGGAAAGCACAAACACAACAAACAACATACGACTAAGGTACAACCAACTCAAAAGTGAATCTCAGACTCTTGTTCCCAAAGTGGACTCCTCAATATCCAGGCAAAACTAAATAAGTGCAAACTTAACCAGACTAATCACTTCAAAAATAATTTGACAGGTTCGAAAATGTTACAGTTTAACATGTGGTTTTAAAACACATACAAATCACCTAAGCATGCGAAACCTCTATCATGAAACAGTTTAAACCAAAATACATCATCATTCAATTTAATTAGATATGTGTGTGAGAATATTAGGTTTATAAGTTCTTTCCCTTCGTGCACACTTGTTGTTCAAAGTCCTCTTTGCTTTGTGGTCGTCTCATTCAACCTCTCTTTGGTCTTCTCTGAAGTCGTGACAGCTTTCTGGTACTTGGTCTGAAGTCGCGACTCTGGTCTGGGTTTGAGGGATCTCTCGACTCTGGTCTGGGTTTGAGGGATCTCTCTCTCTCTTGCGACCTCTGTTTTGCTTTGGGTCCTCGCTTAACTTGTCTGGTTCTCTCTCTGGCTGTGTCGATCGAAGCTACATCTTATCTGATCTCTGGTTTCTATTCTCTAAACACGAAGCACTCTCTGTCTTCGTGTTTGATATCTGATCTCAGCCCATCAAGTCTTTGACCCATATGTGTTAGCTTTTGGGTTATTACAGTTTTACCCCTAAGATATTTTGAGTTATTACACTTTGCCCCATCAGTTCCCTTTTCTTTCTTTTTCTAGTTCATTACTATGTTGGAAGATAAAATTCAAGCTATTAAATGCAAACTTACTCGTGACAACTATACTTATTGGTCTAGTGCTATGAAAAATTTTCTCGGTCAGAAAAAATGGAGATATATTTCTAGTTCTATTCCTCGTCCATTGGACCAAAACAAGAAGGATATATGACTTCCTGTGACACTTGAGATTGTGATAATGCCTAAGTTTTGACTTGATTCCATAATTTTGTGGATGACTGTATTGGGATGATGTGAACACTTAAGCATATGAACAAATAAGAACATAGGCATGTTATCACCTAAATGTGCAATTCAACACTTAGAAAAACATACTTAGGCCTTTCTACACTTAGAAAATCTCAACTTATATACAATTTCTGGCATGAATCACACACATGTAGAAAATCCTTATGCTGTCCCATCCAAATAGTGAACTTAGTCACTTCCCACAGTCTTGGGTATTCGAACCCAGTTAAGCTCTAATACCATGTTATCACACCATGATTTTTGTGTGTGGCTTTTTCCTCTCTCCAAAACCCTAGGATGAAGTAAATAAAGGACCCTTTTCTCTCTCTCCAAGTGTAATCCATAGTGAAGACCTATGAAGTATAGACATGCCAAAATGGAAGCCGTGGCGGTGTCAGATACGGGGACACGTACGGGACACGCCAGATGGCGTGTCCCTTTAATTTAATTTATTTTTTGCAATGGACACGGCGGGGATACGCGTGTCCAAATCTGGACACACCATGGGATCATCTTCTGAGGGCTTCGATCATCTTCAATCGTCTTCGTCTCTGTTCTCTCTCTCTCTCTGTATGCATATATTTTACTTTATATAAGATAATTGATCATATATAATATATATAATATAATTTATCATATATAATATATATAATAAAATTTATAAATTATAATTTTTATCATGTATAATAAAATATCTAATTGTTATTTCTTAAAATATCATATATAATAATAATTTTTGTAAATTATTATTTCTTAACTTTTTAACATATAATAAATAAAATAAATCATCCAATTATTTAAAATAAATCTAATTAAACCATATATAATAAAAAAAATTATAAAATAAAATATCTAATTTTTCTTTTTATTTATTTTAACATAATTTATTATTCCTTATCTATTATAATTTTTTATTTATAATTAACAATAGCACATTATTTAAAAAATATAATAAATAAATAAAATAATTAATGTGTATTAAAATAAAAACATTTATAAAAAAATTAAAAAATTTGTCATGTCCCCTGCCGTGTCTGTGTCCCAAGTTTTTAGAAATTGCTGTGTCTCGTTTCCGTGTTCGTGTCCGTATGTGTGTCCGTATCCGTGCTTCATAGGTGAAGACCAATTAAGTCTCTCATTAGACATTAATCCAACTTTAAATCAATGGCCTAGATTTGATCTTAGGTAGGACAAAACAATCATAACCCCTTTATTTTGAATTCCATACAATTATACGCACATATACACATATAAGTACACTTACACAAAAGTAACTTAGTTTGCACAAGCATTAATGTGGTCTTTCTACTTTCATGAGTGCGTAAGTAAAGTACCTAGTTTAAGTAAGGAAAGGTGCCAAAATGGGAAAAAGATGAGCACATGAAAGCTTGCAAGAGATAGGTTCAGCCAAGCCTTGTAGGGGATGCCAAAATGTAAGTAAAATGCACTATTTGGGGTTTTGGACTTCTCTCCAAAACCCTAGCTCAAAACTGTATAGTTTGGATACATAAATTATACGTTTTATGTATTAGAATTGCATAAAATTCATAGGGATGACTAAAATAAATAAAATACACATAAATAACACAAAATTAATAATTATCAGGCCCAAAGATCCATCTCTCGGATCTCATGTCAGTTTGAGCCCGGGTGCATGCAAATCGAGACAATTGTTACACTACCTTTCTTAACATGCAATTAAATTCTATTTGAACAAGATTGACCATCCCGAAGGGTTTGTCCCTCGGGTCTCGGGTTGGCTCAAGAGTCCATGCACGTAAATTGAGATGATTGATCGCGTAGAAAAATTAATCGGCGAAGTTCTAAGCTGAAGTACCGTGACTCCGTTGAGGATTTTATTATAATTATTCTAAGTTATTTGGGCCTCCAACACAATAATTAAAAGTTCAAATTTGCGATCATTATAGGTTGTGTTACATGGATTCGCCACTTTAGGGCAGAGTACCTGTGTTGACATGACACGACATGGGTGCGGTTGTGAGATCTGTGTTGGACTTGGCATGGTTTTCTCGGACACAACTAACATGAGAGAAGAGTGAAGAAGGATTGTTGAGAAACTTTAAGTGGTAGTAGGAGTCTGATCATCACTCTTGATTGAGAGAGAAATGCGAATCTGATGCGAGAAGTAACTGATTGCGATCTCAAGCTCTTATCCTTACTCTCAATCTTGATTTGTCTGTCCATCTTTTCTCAATCTCAATCTCGTCTTCTTTCTCTCGATCAATCTCGTCTCCTCCCTCGATCGATCTCCTCTTCTTCTCTCTCGACGTCGATCAATTGATCTCTTGTTCTCTCTCAATTGATCTCCTACTCCTCTTCCCTCTCTCTCTCTCTCCTTTTTAACAATTTTATCAAAATAAATTTATTTGATAAAAAAAATCTAAAGTAAAATATTTTAACTGATGATATTTTATAAATAAATAAGATTAAAACATTTCATATAGTATAAAATTTATAGACATTAAATATAAAAATTATATTTATATTTAATGTACATAAATTACCGGCCTGTCAATTGATTGTTGGGAGAAGCTACACAAAAATGTTTGCATGTATGAAAGGGAGCAAAACATGTCCTTGCTCCTTTTTATAAACTACAGGATTGAAAAAAACATAAAATTTTGCCATATTGAAACTGGGAAACAGTTAAATTGAGACTCGGATGGGAAATGCAAACTGCTAAAACTTCCATAGTGCAGGTCAAAGTTCCTGCTGCATTCAGTTGTCATGTAGGAATAAGCAGGGGCAGTCTGGACAGGGCATACAGATGAAAAAACATTGTGCTGGAGAAGTTTCAGTTTTCCATATTGCATTGTGGGATCACTTCTTTTGAATATTGAATCACAAATAATTGCCATGCAATTTCAACTAGTCTGTGTTCAAAGTTTTGTTCTGTTGTGAGGTTTAGTAAAGGTCACAAGTTCAAGTCTGTTTGATGGCTTATATCCACCATTATGAATGCCTTTTCCTTTGTCCCACTTTATGTGTGGCTTCTTGCCTATAGATTTTGGCATTTTGGCGCAGTATAAAGAAATCAGAAACTTAAAACCTTGTTCTATAGAGTTTGAAGCGAGCATATCAAGTCCTTTGTCTTACACATGTCCATGCAGTTTTTTGGGGACAAAGCTAGATTTCGTCTTTTGGGGGGCCAAGGACATGTCTATAAAAAAAATTGCAACTAATAATACTAGCTATATTTGGTATATCAAAATAAAAAATAACAGTGTGTTTGGTTTCAGTTTTCTGAAAATTGAGTTTTTTGTTTTTCATGTTTTTTTTTTGTTTTTAGTGAATATTTTTAAAATTTTAAGTAATTTTTTTTACTTTTTTAGATGCACCTTACTTAGATGTATCAAAAATAGTAAAATATTTGTGAAAAAATATTTTAAAAAATTAATAAATATACAAAAATACGAAAATGTACTGAATTTTTGTATTTTTTGGTATTTAGTGTATTTTTTAAAGATTTTTTTTACAAATATTATACTTTTTAAGTGTATTTATGTTAGGTGTGTCTAAAATTTTTTTTAAAAAAAATGCTTAAAATATTAAAAAAATTTCATTGAAAACATTAAAATACGAAAAATAAAAAAGTAAAATTTTTTGAAAACTGTTTTCTGAAAATTGGAACCAAACAAGCATTTCTAAAACCAATGGAACTAACTAAATTTATAATGATGAAGAAAAAAACAATGAAAGAATGAAAAAAGGAAAGCAGAATCATTTTGTTTCCTTTGACAGAGAAAAAGGAAGGAAATTAATGCATGCTGGAAACCCCCTTTTCTTGGAAGGGGGGCCATTTTTTTGTAAAAAATTTGTGAGTCTTTGGTGTGTACACTATGCAATAAGGGGTTCCTCAAGGTCAGGGGTGGCCATGGTCCCCCTTGGCCCTAGTGTGCCTTCATCGCTGCAGTTTGTGTATTTTGAGGTTGAGTAAAAGTCAATTTATCAAGGATAAGCTATGAAGCTCTATCTATAACAATTATACATTTAGGTTCCTCGCCCTTGGTGATCATGCTACTATGGGATACTTCAAGGAGTTTAAAGCACCTCAAGACCCTGGTTCATTATAGTTTAATGCAAATATCATAAGTATTTTGTATTCTATGTGATATATGACAAACTTATGTTTATATAGGTCTCTTTTGGTATGTTAATTTCAAAACGATGCTTATTCTTGTATGAAAATATGTTATACTCTCCCAGAAAATATATATATACACTCTTATGTGAAATTCTTACCTCACCTGTGTTGAACTCAGAATTAAATGGCAAGCACTATTAATTTCATTCTCATATTTTTGGTCTTTCATTTTGTTTGGAATAATTTCGTTGATGGTTTGTAAACAAGGTTAGTTGAATTGTGAATAACCTTGAAAAGAATCGCAGGACGAAGCACTTAACTTACCTGAACCTGTGGACCAACTGCTTAGTGATTATGCTAAAAGGTTCAATGAAATCAAGACCCCTCGTAAGCTGCTATGGAAGAAAAATCTTGGCACAGTCAAGGTTCGGCACTTAAAAAATTTCATATTTCTTTCAAACATGAGCTTCTGTTGATATTTTGTTTCAGTGCTTGAATTAGGAAAACAAAGAAGTTATGGCCTTGATGAAATGACATTGACTATTTTTCTCATTGCCATGCTATTTTAGTTGGAATTGGAATTTGAAGATAGATCCCTACAATTCACAGTCACTCCTGTACATGCCTCAATCATTATGCACTTTCAAGATCAAACAAGGTAGTCTTGAGAATCAATTCAATATGTTTATGTAATTCATTTATGGTGAGTTGATGAACCTATGTTTTGTCCTTCCAGGTGGACCTCAAAGAATCTTGCAGCTGCTATTGGGTTACCTGTTGATGTACTTAATAGGAGAATAAATTTCTGGATAAGCAAAGTTAGTTCCATTTGTTCCAACCCACCATGCAATTTGCTTGTATCGTTTTATTGAAATTTTTTCTTTTCTTTTCTTTTTTGGTCTGATTACTGATGGAAAATTGGCAATACCTTTAATCTCTCTTTTAGAACTATAAGCCTCTCCCTCATATGAGCCTTTACTTGTGAAATCATAAGTTAAACTTGCCATCATCCAGGTCTCTAGGTTTTCAGTTTTTTTTTTTTGGGCCACTGATGGAAAATTGGCAATACCTTTAATCTCTCTTTTAGAACTATAAGTCTCTCCCTCATATGAGCCTTTACTTGTGAAATCTTAAGTTAAACTTGCCATCATCCAGGTCTCTAGGTTTTCAGTATTTTTTTTAACTAACATAAATGCATTTGGAACTTCCTATACTTAAGCTGCCATATCCCTGCCATTTCCTTGCTTTGAGTTGTTTTATTTCTTTAGCTATTATCTGCCTCATTGTGGCCAATATTGTATATGGTATCATTTTAAATATTACCCTTTCACCTATTGATTGCTCAAGTAGGTTCAAAATTTTGTATTTTATATAAAAATATAGACTAGAATCTTAGTTGCAAACTATTGATTTGAGCCTGTTTGTTTCCTTAGGGAATTATTTCAGAATCATTGGGAGCAGATTCTAATGACCACATATTTGCCTTAGTGGATGGAACGATTGACACTAGCAGGAGTGGCGCAAACAGTGGAGGTTGCGAGGAGCTGTTGGTGGTTGATGAGGATGGAGAGAGATCAGTGGCTTCTGTTGAGGATCAACTACGCAAAGAAATGACTGTGTATGAGGTAGGTTGATTTAATATTGTTGCGTATTAGAGTAACTATGCATGTTAATGAGGTTTAGATCTTTTGAAATAACTCCATCGTGATTGCAAATTGTGGTATTATCTACATATTTCTTTTAACCTCACTAGTGTTTGTACACGTGCATTGCACATGAATTGTCTTTTGGTTTTTCTTTTTATTGGCTGCTTTCAAGTGTGAGCTGCCTGCCTCTACACAAAACACAGTAAATGAAAAAAAAAGAAAAAGATGTTAACAAATAAGGAACAAGTTCTTGTAGACAGTATCATGCTGACAACATTGATACTGTTTGAAGATTTATTCACTTCTAACAAAGTATTGGTCAGAGTTTTTTATTTTTATTATTTATTTATTTATTTATTTTTAAAACTTCCACACAAATCATATGCATGTCTGTGTAAAAACTAATTTTTTTTTTTCTTTTTTTTAAGAATATGGTTCATAAGAATAATTTTAGGTAGGAATGAAATGATAATTCATTGACCTCTTAGGTAGTATTTGGTTAGCTGGAATGGAGTGGAATGAATATTCATTTCATCAAAATATTCGTTCTCATATTTATTTATTAAAAAATATATTACAAATGAAATCATCATTCCATAGAAGAGCTTAAGGAATGAACATTCCATTCCATTTTCTCTCATTCTAATGAACCAAATAGAGCATTAATGGAATGACAATTCATCGACTTCTTAATGAAATAACCACTCTCCTAAATTATTGAATGATTATTCCATTTTCGATGTAAATTACTTTGTTTTTAACCAAACTAAACATGGGAAAGGAAATTCAGAAAAAATGAGCATTCCATTCCATCCCCATTCTATTGAACCAAACACTTATCTGTTTGGTAACATTTATGTTTACAACTTTCTATTTATATTTACAAAAATTTTAAAGACTAAAAACAAAAACTCATTTGGTATCTATTTTTGTTTTTGAAAACTTAGTAAACAGTTTATAAAATGTACTAAATATTTGTTTAGGAAAAAGTTGGTTTGTTTGTTTGTGTTTTTTTTCACCCCCTATGATGACCACCCACCACTGTTCCCAACAACCATTGGCCACCTCCACCTATGGCTATTGTCACCAGTGATCTCTAACAACCACTGACAACCATCATCTCCTATTGATGGTCACCACCCTTGGCCACCCCTCTTGCCCAGAGTCCACCTTCGACCACCACCTTAGGTAGCCAATCACCATCTCCGGTTGTCGGCCACCACCTTCGGTAGCTGATCATCATCTCCAGCCAGTGGCAACCACCTTTGGCCACTACTTCCGGTGGCCAGCAACCATCTCCAGCCACACATTAGCCTCAGGCAAAATCAATGTCACTCTGAACTCTGTCTAATAATGGAAGTGTAAGCTATCATGTTCTTCACCTAGAAGGAGATCTTGGTTTGATGTGGTGATGAGGGTGACAGAAGAATAAATTCAATAAAACTTTTCACAAGTAGGGAAGCTGTAGGTTCTCTCTCTCTCTCTCTCTCTCTGGTTTTTTTATTTTGCAATCAAAGAAAGAATAATCTGACAAGAAAAGTGAACATTAAGACTGCCTATCACTTGTAGAAAAAAGAGGTGGCCAACATCTCTCTTGACTGGGACAGAAACAGCCTTCAGGCTTGTTTGTTACCTAATTGTCAACTATTCTGAAACTCTTGCATTTAGAAATGGAGAAAACCAATTACTATTTTTCTTAAATATTTGAGAACAGCACCATGGACTAGTAATTTTCATAATAATTAAATGTATTATGGTTCATGTGTATCTCTGAAGGCTTGTAAGTCATATTTTTCCTGCATTCTTCTAAATGGACTTTTGGTTTGGTTGTAGAAATTTATCACGGGGATGCTAACAAATTTTGGCAGCATGGCATTGGATCGAATTCATAATACTCTCAAGGTAGTAAAGGTTTTGCTTAGGGCTCAAATTTTGATTTAGATAAGAACAGTATCGTCACATTAGTTACTCACATGACAACTATTGCTGCAGATGTTTTGTGTAGCTGATCCTCCTTATGACAAATCACTGCAACAGTTGCAAACCTTCTTATCCGGTCTAATTGCAGAAGAGAAATTAGAGCTAAGAGGTGGAATGTACTTTTTAAAGAAGTGATGAACTGATGGAATTGTGAGAATATTATGTTAATTATGGAAATATATTAGATTGATTGTATATTTTGTTTGTCAGCATCTACAGTTTGGTTTTATCTCGCTTCGTTTCGTCTCTTCGGCATCGCGACTTGCTAATTTCTTTATCAAGATTCACACCATTGCTCGATTTCAGTTTCTTCTTGGCAAACTCCCAGTGTTTTCTGCTAAAACACCTTGAGTTTGAGCGAAAGTGTGAAAATATTATGTTAATTATGAAAATATATTAGATTGATTGTATTCAAAAATCTTAATGGAATATGCAACATCATCCATATGATCCAAATCTACAAGTAAATAGCAAAGTAAGACTTCATTTTAAAAGCTTTATTGCCATTCTTCATTTTCTTAAAAAATTGAGAGAAGGCATAGTTAAAGTGTAAAGTTCAAGAAATTAGGGTTAGGGTTGAAGAGGAAAGAGAGGAGACGAGGAGGAGAGTGAATATAGTGAATAGATTATTGGGTCATAATGAAAATTTTTCACCGAATACATTTATATTAAGACATTAATATTCTTATAACAATAAAACCCTTAATATAAAATAAAATAACATAACAAGTGTAACACGTCTCTTCAAGTTGGAGCATAGAGGTTGAACATGCTTAGCTTAGCAGATAACCGTTGAAACGAAGGACGATGTAAAGGCTTGGTGAAGATGTCACCCAATCAGTTGTTAGAGCGAACATAAGGAGTCATCAATTGTTTCTGTAGTAATGAATCACGAATGGAGTGACAATTAATCTCGATGTGTTTGGTACGTTCATGGAACACAAGATTGTTGGCAATGAAAATAGCAGCCTGATTATCACAACACATGCACATAAGGTGTGGGAATGGAATCACCAAAATCATGGAGAAGAGAGTGAATACAAACATTTTAGAAGCCATATGAGCTATAGCATGATACTTGGTCTCAGCACTAGAATAGGCCACAACATTATGCTTCTTACTCCGTTGATTAACCAAGTTATCATCAATAAAGGCACAATAGCTAGAAGTAGAACAACGGTCAGTAGGACTACCATCACAATCAGTATCAATAAACTTTGTGATGGTCAAGGAAGTAGAAGGGCAATAAAGCAGACCACGACCCGGTGCACCTTTCAGATAACATAAAATACAACATACGACATCAAAGTGAAGATGGCGAGGGGGATCCAAACAAAATTAAGATAGAGCAAAAAGTCTCTAGGTAATTAACCCTATAAGTTTGGGTGTACCATTTGGCAACTAGAGGGGCCTTAAGGTGCTCAACAGAACCATCACTAAGATAAATCCAACAACAAACAATAGTAAGCTTCCCAGAAAATGGAGGCATAAGCTCCCAAGTCTGATTCTTATGGAGGGCATTCATTCCTCATCCATAGCAAGTTTCCATCTAAGACATAGATAATGCTTGCAGATAAGATGGAATGGAAATAGCAGACAAGCTGCAAACAAAGGAATTTAAAGAAACTTGAGAATAAGAGATAAAATGTTTAATGGAATGTTAAGTACAAGGGCGTTTACCTTAGTACAATGCAATAGTCATCAGAGGATGGAGGCTGGAGGCGGAGGAGGAGTAGGGATCTCTGGTGGAGAAGATGAATCAGTCAGACCATAAGAAACAACACATCAAGCTTGAGATTGTTGATACACCTGTAAAGGAGACGAGAGAGATGGAGGACGAGCTACCAGAGGTGAAGATGGAGTAGGAGAAGAAGAGGAGGACGTAAGGGGCAACGGAAAATTGGGAGCAAGGCAGGAGAGTGCCTCATTACGACAAGAGATGAGGTCTAATGAGAACTGCATACTAGAGGAAGAAAAGTAGGGGGTGAACTTAAAGAAGGTGACATCAGCACTGACAACATAACGGCGAGACTCAGGATGATAACACCGGTACCTTTTTTGGGTGTGAGACTATCCTAAAAAACCACACTTATGAGCCCAATGAGACAACTTATCCTGACCAAGATCTAGGACATGAACAAAGGTGACACAACCAAAAATACGAGGATAAAGGAAACATGGTGAACGGGCAGGATATAAAATAGAAAAAGGGAACTAATTATTTAAACCACAAAGGGCATGCGATTGATAAGGGAGCAAGTAGGGAGAACAACATCACCCCATAACTGTTTGGAAATTTGCATGTTAAATAACAAAGTATAAGCAACATCCAATAAATGACGATATTTCCTTTCAGCCACACCATTTTGTCGAGAGGTATGAGCACAACTCGTCTGATGAATAATACCATGATCAACACAAAATGAAGTGACAATTGACTGCATGTATTCTAAAGCATTATCAGAATGAATTTTTTTTTAATATGATTGCCAAATTGAGTAACAATTTCATTATAGAATCGTAAAATAACCTGAGGTAACTTAGATCTCAGTTTTGTTAAAAACAACCATGTCATTTGAGAAAAATCATCAACGAAAATAACAAAATAAAAAAAAAATTATTAACAGTTGGAGTACGAGAAGGTCCCATATGTCTCTATGGACTACATTTAAAGACGTGAGCTCATGACTAATTCTACGACTAGGAAAAGAACTATTATGATGTTTTTCAAACTAACAAGCTTCACACTTGAGCTTAGATAGATGACTCAACCTAGTTAGGGCTAACTTAAGCTTGGCCAAGAATGGATCACCCAAGCGAAAATGCCACTGAAGAGTAGAGATAATAACACTAAAGGCGGAGAAAGTGCTGTGAGAAAAGAAATCAGGATGCAAATAGTATAAGCCATCATTCTTATGTCCCGAACCAATCATTTTCTTGATTTTGAGGTCTTGCAAGACACGAGGTAGAAGAAAAGGTTATGGAGTAATGTAAAACCTTAGCCTATTGACTAACATAGAGCAAATTAAAGGGAAAATTAGGAACATAAAGACTAGAGGGTAGAGAAAAAGACATGGTAGGATGAAGACTACCCTTCCCACTAATAGGTAGGGAAAACCCATCAGTAAGAATAATATAATCTATAACAGAGTGTAGACTAGTAAAAAGAGAGAGATTATTAGACATATGAGAACTAGCACCAGAATTTAGGAGCCAAGGTTGACAAGATTGGGCCAGATATGCAATATTACTTGAACTAGCCAAGGTAGTAGTGTAGGATGAGAGTAGAGCAACACGAAGGGAATGAACAAGCTCGGTAAGCTCGCTAAACAAGTAGTGAGTGCATCACGTGAATTAGACGAATGAGCTTGTTGAGAAGAAGGAACCTTATCCACAACTTGACGTACATAATCAAGCTTACCATACTTCTTCTAGCACCAAGGTTCAGTGTGACTAGTGGAACCAAAATGATCACACTTCATATCACCACGAGAGAGGAAACCACCACCACGAGAGCTACCCTCTTGAGGAACACTATAAGAACCTCCACCACGAGATAGATTGCCACAAGAACTATGAGAGCCACGGTGACTAGATCCACCACAAAAACCATGAGGAGGACCACGACCACCACTACTAGAAACCAAAGCAGAAGCAGAAGCAGAAGCAAAAGCATAAAGTAGAAGTTGTGGGAGTAGTTAAAGAGGAGGTAGAGGAGCACTGGCCAAAAGAGGAACGTAATAAGCAGGAGTAGGCATTAGCAGCTGTAGGCAAAGTCTTACTAGCAAGTATTTGATCCTTAAAACCCTGCAAATCAAAATCCAAGCCAAAAAGTAATGATGCAATCATAAATTCCTCCCTATAACGCTTCTATTGTGCTACATCAGTAGTAAAAGGGCGATGTTGCAATAGTTGATCCTACAAATTCTTAAGGGTGCTAAAATATTCGGACAATGTATGACCAGACTGCTTAGTGGAAAATATCCTCTCATATAATTCATATACGCAGGAAACATTACTCTAATGAGAAAAAAACCTAGTAAGAGAGTCCCAAATCTTCTTAGAGGTCTTACAAATAATGGCAATATGACTACGCCAAAGCCATCCCATCACAATTGAATCCTCGCTTAACCAATCAGTTTAAGCCTTGTCCTCGGTAGGAGGAACATCCGAGAGAAATTTCAGTTTCTTTTTGCCATAAAGAAATATTTTCACATAATGTGCCCAAGCTAGATAATTGAGACCATTTAGTTTCTTTGTAGTGATCGATTTAGGCAAATCATCATCCTTAAGTACTTGGGGGAGGGGGGGGTGCTTTAGCCATAAGAAACAACCAATAGGAACTAAAGCCAGAAAAAAACGAAAACAACTAGTCACAACAATGAACATGTAATAGCCACTAATGGAGAACTTCAAACAAAAGACTCAAAGGACTACAAAACCTCAAAACAACTTCAAGGACTCTTGGGGTCCAGTCAGCACCCACAGAGGTTGGTATAGGCAAGAAATCAAATAGGTGAACCACCCATAATAGAACTGAAGTAGTAGAAGGACCAAAAATGCACCCAAGAGCTCATCAAATAGATCTCAGAAAAGGGCTTCAACAACCCAGTCGACACCCATAGAGTACATTACAATGAAGAAAAATCACAAGAAAAGCTTCTAGAAGCATTTCGAAAAATAACAATAATATAATTCGAAAATACTTCAAAAATCAAAAGCAGACATCCAAAACCCCAAACAATTCCACAAAAATCACCAAAATTACAAGGAGGGTGAGACAAAGCAAACCATGTGTTCTCCTATTCATGATGTCCGTACAGATGCTGATGTCATACTAACATCGTTGTATGGAAGATAATGTTAGCACGTCCAGGTCACCGTGTGAAAATTTTCAGACTTCAACAAGACAAGTTATTGTAAGATCGAAGCGCTCTGATACCAAGTTAAAGTGTAAAGTCCAAGAGGAGAAGAGAGAATATAGAGAATAGATTATTAGGTTATAATGTAAAATCCTCACCGAACACATATTTATATTAAAACATTTATGTCACTATGACAATTATACTCTCAATATAAAATAAAATAATGTAACAAGTCTAACATGCATAAAATAAATAAAATTTTGGATCTTTTGCTTATGTTGTTTTGATTTCCAATGAGGAAAAAAATATGAAAAACTTGTGCCGACAAAGCCAAGCAATTGTATTTGGCTGTAGTTAGATTTATGTTCCTCAAGTACTAAAT